ATAATAATAATAATAATAATAATAATAATAATAATAATAATAATAATAATAAACACCTAAACACGTCTTTTTAGACAAACTGCGGGAAAATAAAAACATACAACGCCATTCAGCAAATCGTAAAATCTTCAGAAACAGTTTTTAATGTATTAATTTTTTTTTAATTATGATGGAATCGGGTCGGTTTGGATTCAAGTCAAACAGGATCAGTCTTTTAAACATTAAATCAACAGAAATAAACAGAAGCGAGTATTTTTAGAATAGGCACACAAGTGTGTGTGCGTGCGCGCGCGCGTGTGAAAGAGAGAGAGAGAGAGAGTAGATAACAGCTGGATCTTGATTAAGAGGACTAGTTCCTCCTCCTCAGCCTCCGTGCGCGCGCGGCTCGTTTTTTAATTTTCAGAATAATGCTCGGTCTGTGCTCAGCCTGACACCAGATCAGATCTTAACGGGGAGCTTTTACACTGTAGAGACGTGTCCTCCGAGAGGCGGCGAGCAGCAGATCAGTATTTTTGTTATCACCTCCATCAACACGGATGTCCATCTTCAGGGTGAGGATATGTACCAAGGCGTGATGACAACCAACCACGGAACCCATTCTTATGAGGCCGGATTCCTGCACAGCGCCTCTGCGGCCGCCTCCCCGGTCTATGTTCCCACCACCCGGGTCGTGACCCCCATGATCCCGGCGCTGCCGTACCTGCAGACGGCCGGCGCGTCGCAGCAGGGCAGCCCGGCGTCGAGCCACTCCGCCTGGGCGCAGCCGGGCGCAGACTCCTCTTACAACCACTCCCCGGTGTCCTCGCGCTTCACCTTCTCCACCAGCCCGCCTCTGTCTTCCGGGGGGGCCACGGCGGCCTCTTACAGCAGCCCGCTGAACATCTCCGCCAACGGGAGGGAGCACTACGGCCCCCGGGGCCTCAGCGGCTCCTACCACAGCGCGTACCCCGCCTACATGAGCCCCAACGTGGGAGGAACGTGGCCGGCGTCCCCCTTCGATAGTCCGGTCCTGCATGGTCTGCAAGCCGGAGCCTCTCCAGGAACTACACGGCACCCAAACATAGGTGATAGCACTGATTTCTATTTTATTTTAACTAAGATCTTTTTTTTTTTCTTCTTCTTCTTCTTTTAACTAAAGGGACTTAAAATTAAAAGTTTTTTTTTCTGCAGAGAGTCAGCTGTTTGATTCAAACTAAATAATTACAGAAAAAGAACAAGGATTCAAACGCGCTAAAATTTGTAAAATTTACTTTTGTACATTCGATGAGAATGATCAGAGATAATTATTAAGATTGATCAATTTAAAAGAACAATCTTTTTATTTTCCTGGGACAAATATATTTTTTATTTTTAGTCAATTTTGATGTGAAACCCTTCAGACTGTTTAGGTCTGCACTGATGATGCAAAACACAACTGAAAAAAAAAAAAGTATTTAAAATATGTAATTCGTGTACTCAAAATAATGAAAAACAAATTACTTAAAACATGACTGATTATATATTTTAAAAAACAGTCTGAATAGTTTTAGATCAAGAAGTTATAAAAGTTCAAGAGTGTGGTTATAAATCAAATTTCCAGCTGTTTAAAAATCACATAAAAACAATGTTGTCAATAATCTCCCATTATGTCTCTATTATTATTGCTTTGTTAATTAAAATCTGTTTTGCATGTTGTATACGTTTAATGGCCTTTCAAATTGTATAACTTTAAAAAGTATTTATTTAGAAAAGACTCAGAAGAGCCTTTATGTTTCAATTCATATTTAATATTTTAGGAGACAAACATCCTCCAGTTAAAGATCAAACTTGATCTCATCTTTCATACTTCTGTCCTGATTTGTTAGTTTGATTTGCTGCAGTGAACACAACTGTTGAGTTTTCCACTTCTGCTCTGTTCCCTGGTGTTTAACAGGTAGAAAAATATATAATTTCTGTGCCGAACATAAACAACTGAATGCATCAGTTTAAACCTGCTCATCTCATTAAATTTCCAGCTCACCAATGAATTCACAGCTGATCACATCACCGTCTTTTAATGTGACTGACTTTCGTGTCTGTCAGAGATAAGAGCATTGATCCAATCTGACCTTCTCATCATTACAGTCCCTCTCATCTCTACAATGTTCAGCTTTTGTTTACGAGTCTTCTCACACATTAAAGCTTTTTCAGGCACAACTAATTAGATTAAATCTGATTACAAAGCATTTGTTCTGTTGTTCTGCAAGAGAAATGTTATTTAATCTGTCGGTCAAACAGAAAATAAATCCAATCACAAACTAGTTCATAGATTTCTTCAGTGCTTTATTGTTATTATTATTATTATATTGTTATTATTATTATTATTATATTTATTATTATTATTATTTTCAAGAAAATTGAAGGAGTTTGTAAAGGGACTATTTTGATGATCATTTATTCTTTCTTTCTTTATTTTATTTTGAACAAACGTAAAAATTTGTGTTTTTTGTCGGCGTCTTGTTTAAGAATGTTTATATGGCTTAGTAAACTTTAATTTGTTTTAGATGAAATTTAAATCAAATTAAAATGATTCAAAACAAACTCTTAAGCTGAAGTTCCTACAAAAAATGGTTTTAATTACTTTAAAGCCAGTTTTTGTGCCATGAGTCATCAAAGTAATTAAAAAAGTGAAACATAAGAGGTAGCACAATTATTGCCTATAGAGATTTAACAACAACAATAATAATAATTAAAAAAAAAAAACAATAAAACATAACATTACCAAAAAATTTATTCAGGAAACTACTTGTAAAATATGTTATAACTTGTGGAAATATTTTAGAAAAACATAAAATGTGAAATCTGGAAGACACCCCCCCCCCCCTGAAAATCTGAGGTTTTTTTCAAACATTCAAATAAATAAATAAAAAAATATGTAACAAGTGCTATAATAAAAAAAAAAAAGTTTGATATTTCGATTTTAGACTGTCTTTTTTCCCCCAACATTAATATTAAGAAAACCATTAAAAAAATAATTAAACCATCCTGTGTCAATGATAGAATGTGGCACATTTCCATCAGCAATCTTTCATTTTAACTGTAAAAATAAACTAAAATGTGCAATTTACCAAATGTGGAGCTCAAAATGTGGATTCTACAAAAAAAAAAAAAAAAAGCTTTGACATTTGTTTTAGCTATAATTACAGCGATTGATATATTAAAGTCAGCATTTAATTTTATTAATAATATTTATTGTCAACAGATGGCTGTTTGTTTCAAATGTGGATATTTCAGGTCTCAATAGTGATCTCTTACAACAATGTAAAAAAAAACTTATTAAGAGTAGGATTTGCACCTTCAATCATTTCTTTTAAAATATGAAATGACCTCCTCCTGTGTGGCAGGTTAAACACACTGTGTACAATGCTCTAGACAATGAGCTGTTTATTTCCACTTTCACCTTTGACCTCTCGAAGTGTGCGTGTGGATGTTTTGAAGCTGTAACCTGATAAAGTCACTGACACGAACACTTGTGGAAAAAACATAGACCTTCTTTTAGATAGAGCTGCTTGCTGGAGGCTTTCTATTGTGTATTGTCTTATTTGCAGCGTTGTGTTGGCTACATTTACTGTGTAGCGCTCAAGGTTAGCTCTCCCTGCCCGCTCGGCTCGGCTCTCAGCCTTGAGGAGGCCTCTGCAAGCAGCCTGCAGCAAGGGAGGAACAGATATTTATGCTATCTGAAAATGAGTAATTATACTGCAGTTAAAAGCCGTAATGAACTGGTTTAAATGTGTTATAGATTTCTGTTCTTAGATAACTCCCAGTATAAATTTGATCCAAGGAGAGAAATGCTATTCTGTCACCTCTGATGTCTCCTTAAGAGGCCGATATGTGGCACATGAGAGGCTGACGATTCCATTTATCAGATGCGCTGCTATCTGAGACAGAGATGTGATGGACATTTGAATTTGATGGAGCGAGAGCTATTCCATCTCTATTTCCAGCCTGGATTTATCTTGAGGGGAGCTGTGAGATAAGCAAGTTGCATGTGGCTGCAGCCTGCGTCTCCTGCTGGTGCGTCTGAGCCACTGCGCAGGAAAATCAGCGTTAGGATTTGAATTTGGGACAAAAATAAATAAAAAGATTTAAAAGTTTTCCAAGTAAAGATAGAAACACTCTCGTAATATTTTACTTGCAAAACTGAACAGTGTCATCGGTCGCCTTTCTGATCAGATCTGTTTGATGACTTTGCTGAGGGGCGAGAATGTGTGAACTGTGGGGCAATGTCCACCCCACTGTGGAGGCGAGACGGCACTGGCCACTACCTGTGTAACGCGTGCGGTTTGTACCACAAGATGAACGGCATCAACAGGCCTCTGATCAAACCGCAGAGACGACTGGTGAGAGCACGAGTTCTCCTTCATCTGCCTGTGTTTGAAGAAATATTTAAAGATTCCCCTTCTCTGTTTTTTACTCATGACTGATGTATTTGCTACAGTCTGCCTCGAGGAGAGTGGGTCTGTCCTGCACCAACTGTCACACCACCACCACCACCCTGTGGCGACGAAATGCAGAAGGAGAGCCGGTCTGCAACGCCTGTGGACTCTACATGAAACTCCACGGGGTGAGACCATGAAAGCAGAAAAAGCGTCTTCAGTTGTGCAGAAATTTTGGATGCACAAGTGTTAATTTGATAGCGCCGAGTTGTTACAAGCAGTCATTGTCTTACCTGCTGTAGATGGCAATCTGAAGTGATTATGAAAGTATAATTTGGAGGTGTCGCCATGAAGCATTGTGGGTAAATGGTGTTTAGGACAGCTCTCATTCTAAATCCTGGGGCTGTGTGATCACACACTTCGTCTGTCACTACTACACTACACAACCTTAAATCGCAATTAAACCGGATTTACGCTCTCCCTTCGTTTTCATTTAACTTTTATTTATTCACATAAATCCCATTGAGCCTCAAAGACTCTTTTACAAGTGAGACCTGTTTAGATAGACAAAAAAGTTATGAAAATAACATTATGTATAGGATTTGGAGGCAAAAAAAAAAAAAATCTTAACTTACTCTCATTCCTTGGCCGAGGAAAGATAGCCTGAAATTGAAAAAAACAACCTGCACATAAGCACATAGTGACGCAGCAGACAATCTGCAGGGGTGGAGGAGCTAACAAGCAGTTCATGATCAGTGCTAATTGCGTGGGGTGGTTTGTGTCACATTGGCCCGTCATGGACATCACAATTTTTATTTTTATTTTTTTGCCCTCTACTCAAGTGATCAGTTATAAACAGGAAGTGTAGCAGGTTATATCTACAGAATAAAAGTTAAGAAAGTCCAAAAACTGCTTGGATCAGATTTTGTTATGTTTTAGTATGAGCTAACCACTAATCAGAGCGGGACAAGTTCCAAAGCAGATTTCTGCCATTTAAAACACTTTAACCCCAATAATTTAACAGCAGTTTATGCACAAGCTATTAAAAAAACTTTTGTTTTTATGCAGAGTGGACAATATTTACAGCCTGTAGCTAATGTTTTATGTGAAACACATATTGCAAAATGTAACATGTTAAACATAACGTACATAAGTGTGTTGCAAAATGAGGTCTAGCCTCCCAGTTTAATTTGCAGTTCAAGCAAACATTACTTTACTTTTGCATCAGATAGTTACTCAGACACTTAACACATTCAGTTCTGCAACATGTTAGCCACACAAAATATTATTGACAATGAACCGCAAACCAGTACAATAAAAACAAATTGGGGCCAACAAAAACATACTACCTACTAACATTCAAGGGAAATTTGTTAAAAGAGAAAGTAATTATTATCTTAAGGGGATGGAGATGTTTGTGAAGCCGTGGTGTCGCACCAGTCTGAAGATGCGATCCACTATATCTCAGGGTATTAGATTGTGGAATGATCTGGAGGTTGATATTAAAAATGCCAAAACTATGTACATATTCAAGAGGATGATAAAAATTTGTTTTTTAAAAAAATATTAAGTATAATGTGAGTTCATAAAAATTGTTTACAGTTGATCTTATATTTTAGCTAAGTTTTTTTTAATTATTTTTTAATTTTTTATTTTTTTATAAATTCATCCTGCTTTTGTATAGTAATTTTGTTTGGAATATATTTTGGGGACAAGGGGCAGATATTATAAGAATTCATTCTTCTTCTGCTGCCTTTCATTTTATTTCAGTGATTGTAAATCTTTTTTCTTTTCTTTAAATTGTATTATATTTGTTGTTTGGATGAAATGAAATGAATAAAGAAAACATACATACATACATACAATAAAACAGTATAACCTCAGTAAAACCAATAACTATATGCAAAAGTAACATTTGTGCAAAAGTTTATCAAATAACATCTACAAGAACCACTTTGAAACTTATGAAGTTGGACTTGGTTCAGATGGCACACATCTACATAGAATCAGCCCCCAGTCTATGTTGTTAACTTAATTCTTCTATTAAGAACTTCTTCCTGATTCTTCAAACTGTCATTGTTCTGACTGCCATCCACTGCAGGTTAGATATTAACTACTGACAAATAATTTACAGGTCCCCACTTAGAAATCGGCCTTAAGGATACATGTTGGTAGCCTTTATGCTTCATCTAATTCAATTCTCTCTTACATCTCTCCTGGTCTTAACAGGTCCCCCGACCCCTGGCTATGAAAAAAGAAGGTATCCAGACCCGTAAACGCAAGCCCAAAAACCTGAACAAGTCACAAACTGGTGAGTTTTAAATCCTCGTATACAAACACCAGTGTGGCTACATTTCCTAACCATAACATATTACAAACTAGTTTTACATTTTGCATTTACGGTACCACGCAGGACCACCAGGCAGCGAAGGGACTCCAGTGACACCAAACAACACTCCTCGCTCCTCCTCCTCCACCACCTCCACCACAGAGGAGCCTCGGCAGATAAAGACGGAACCGGAAAACCACAGCTTGTACCACCACAGCACACATACACAGGTAGGACTGAAGAGTCTCCATACTGTCATGGATCAGTTTAAAATCAGTGTGAAGCTGAGGCAGCAGTGTTTTCTGGCCAGAAGCAGCATTTACATTAATTTTAGATGATGGTCAGATTTGATAGACTATTCAGGACTGAGTGATTCATAAGACATCCACTCTCCCATGTGATTCATTAACAGTTTTATATTTTCTTTTTCCCCACATTCTACCTTGTCACAAGTTGATATTTTGTGGTTTTTAACATGCTCAAAGTTCCTGCAACGTAAAAGTGTGGCCCTGAGACTCACACATGGAAAACAAGAACACTCAGGAAGACTGTTGCAGCAAAAAGATAAAGCAGGAAGACCCGACCGGTTGATTTCTATCAGCTTATCACAAAGGAACGTCTAGCAGTAAATCTCAGGGATGAGACCGCTTCAAGTGGCAGAAGCTAACGTAAGATTGTCACAGTGTCTTTTTGAACAAAGGCACAGAAAAACCCGCATCACTTAGAGCAGGGGTGTCCAAAATGTGACCCGAGAGCCATTTGCGGCCCTTGGCGTGATTTTGTGCGGCCCACGACTGCAGTTAAAGAATGGTATAATTTTGACCCACAGACAGGTTGATGCCGATGTAGACCTTTAGATTTAATGGTGATACTTTTTAAAAATGTAGGTTTAACAGCAAAACAGATTAAAATAACCTTCTCAAAATGAGCAAAATTAAGCACAATACAAACATTTAGCTATAATTAATCCTTTTATCCTACAACAACCTTCACTAACTTCTACCAAAAGTACAATTTTGGATAATAATTCATAAAATGGCTAAATATAATGTGTTTTCAAAGAAAACAGTTTCAGTTGATTTAATAATCGATGGGGAGAAACTGGACATATATTTTTAAAAGAAATATAAAGTGGTATCATCGACATACAAGTTGATCAACTTTATCAGTGTCCCTTCAAACTTTCTATGAATCTGCTTTAGCGACTGTCAGCTGGTTTTCAGAACTTCGATGAAACCTTTGGGCCCTCCATGGTCCAAACGGAGGATTAAAGTTCCATCACTTTTTTTTTTTAAGGAACAGTAACTCATTTTAGGCTTTTGTATCTGAAAATAAACAAAAATGAACTTTCTAAGCACAAGAAAACAAATAGTAGACCCCACCCAAAAAAAAAAAAAATAATCTAATAAATTTAAAATTTTAAATAAAAAAAGGTTAATGTTTGAGGCTTCTAATGTTCTGGATCTACAAGAATTTAAACTTAACTTTTACCCTTTCTCCAAAATATTGTTCAAGTTGTTGAGAGTTTTAAAATGGTTGGGGGTGTTGGGTGGTGGGAGATCACACTTTTTAAATTTTGTTTCTTAAATTCAGATTTTTCTGACCTGCGAGTCCTTCCATCTAGACCAGGGGTCTGCAACCTTTATGATTTAAAGAAACATTTTTACAACTTCATTTACTAAATTAATTGTGTCCAGAGCCGCAACAACCTGCTACAACTGGGATTATCAACTGGTGGCCTATGGGAAGCTTTAAGTTTTTTTTTGGAGGAGACTTTTGTGGCCAGTAGTGATGACATTATAAAACTAAAAATATCTAACTATTTTTTTAAACATTTATTTATATTTTTACATTTTAATACAAACGAAAAGACCAGATTATTGTAAAGGTGGTGGTGGTGGGGGGTAGTTTTTTATTTTATTTATAAAAAAGAAATGAACTGTGCAGACTTGTGATTTATTTTTTTTTATTGTGGAAAAAAACAATTAAGTGTAGAAATAAAGCAAAAAAAGTTAGAGTATTTGCAAAACAACAACAACAACAAAAAAAGACAGGAAAACAACTAAAACTAGTACTTTTTGTTGTTTGTATAACAACCAATAAAATTCACTTTTATGTCAGTTTTGGTCAAAGCTTGAAAGAGCTGCTGCAGAGGGACCAAAGAGCCACATGTGGCTCCACAGCCGCAGGTTGGAGATCCCTGATCTAGACAGTTCTGGACCAACTATGAAAACGTTGCACCCCTGACTTAACCAACATCAAACTGTTAGCAGATATTAAACAAGACAACTTTATTGCCTCCCAATGAGTTCATCTCTGAGGACCCTAAATCTTTTTTGAGACATTCTGGAAATATGTTCCGTAATGCGGTTGGACCTATAGGTGCAGATTATAAAATTTATTTTAAATAAAAATAAACAACGACGTGGCAGCAAAACTTTCACTTTTTAACTCAGGAGACACGGAGAGAGAACAGAACATGACGCCACATGAGATAATCCACAGACGGAGAAACAACAAGGCAACGCGCAATAGAGACGCTAGTGAGGGGATAGACACGAACATCTGGAGAAGGACAACATGTGGAAAAGGCAGGAGCTGATTACATGAGGGAGAAACACTGAGAGGAGCAGGACACATGACACAGGAAATCATACAAACACAAATCCTCTCAGGAAACTTACACAAAGACAGTTCACAGTTGATCATCAACCGCAGAGACACTGTAAGGAAGTAAATAAAATTAAAATTAAAATAATAATAATAAAGAAACAACTCCACTGTAAAAATATAAAGTATTTCATGCAAATATGATTTCATAAGCGTTTTTTTGCTTTCAGTTGTGCTTTAAAGTCCTCCCTGATTTTCTTTTGCCAATTAATGTGTTCTGTTAGCCAATTAAATATATATTTTTAGAGATTTCATCAGTTAAAAAACAACAACCTCTTATGGGGATAATTACATTTGAAGTGAAGTGGGGTTCTGTGGCAAAAGCTATGAAAAAGTAATATCTTACCTGTTGACGATAGGCCTCAGTTTATAGAAACAGATTGTTATTAGGATTATATATGAGCCAACAATGCAAACTGGGTCCACACAAAAGTGGATTGCATAGTCTTGTCAATTTTTTTTTTAATTGCAGTAATTTGCAAGTGTTATTGGCAGCAGCAGCTAGCTGTAGCATTTCTAGTGCAGCCTGCAAAATTTCCAGCAGAAATATCATAATATTTCTGCCAAAATCACAGTTTTGAGTTAAATTTTAGGCATAATCTTAATTTTCTATATGTGAATTGCCATGATTTTTAAAAAAGATTTCAATTGAATTTGATCTCGGCTTCGCTCAGACCAGCTGTCGATAAAGCTTCGTCTCCCCAAACTTATCATAGCTTTACCACAAAACTCCACTTTCAAGGAGCTGAACTCTTTAAACGATCAGAGCCAGCAACAATAATGCCTCAGGAAAATCTAACGATTTCTGTACCCATCATTTTCATCTTTGTCTCAGCAGATTTCAGCCTTACCAGCCTACATGGCAGCTCAGGGAGCCATTCCTCTGAAAATGTCCCCAGGGGGCCACAGCGGGTCCTCCAGCTCCAAAGCAGAGCCCTGGAACAACCTAATCCTGGCTTAGGAGACCTCCAGCCCAGCCGCTCTAAATGCTACCTATGTACAGCAAACAAACTCTCCAAAGACTGATGCTGGTTGAGATGATCTCACTCTGATAAACTGTCGTTATAATGACTCGGGGCCAAGATGTGGGACTCACTACACATAAAGAGTTTTTTGTTTTTTTTTAACCAGTACTGGACAGTCTGAGCAACCAAAAAGAGAACTTTAGTTATTATCACATTTTTCACCAAACTGACGCAGAAGCACCGTAAAACACTATAAAGTGACAGAAACCAGTGATAGTTCACAAGTAAACATCTTTTCAATGGGATTGATACAATCAGAGATTTTGCTAAGGAAATTATGAACTTAAAAAAAGACAGAAAACACATCACAGCTGGACAGTTTTATATTGACATCACCCCTGAGGTGTAACAAGTGTTTATGAAGGGGCAGTTAACTTTTTTTTATTTTTTATTAACCGAATCGCACCAAAACTGAACAAAGAGTTAAAGGGTGTTTTCAAAAGGTTCTCCTAGGGTCAAAGTTTTTCTTGTTTGGAACAATTTACAATATTTGGATTAAAATAACGCTCATATACATACCAGTAGCTATGGGAACATTTGGTGTGAGTCTAAACACCCATTTGCAAAACACCACAAAACAGTATATGCAGTGAAATGCACACAGCAGTGCATGTTGCTTTTTCTTAACATGGACATAAAAAATAGGCTGACAAACTATAAGATTACAATCATGACCTGCACTGCTTGTTTTATTTGGATTATAATCGGTTGCAATAAGAGACATCCAATTGTTTAAATTTAAATGGCTGCAGCTCTAATGAAATACATTTTATTATTAATTTTAATGAAATTATTTACAATATATTTGGACATGCACGTCCTTCAGCATTCATCAGGGGTGCTGCAGCACCCTCTGCATCCCTACTTCTTTTAGCTTTTGACGAACAGATCATTTACCTCCACAAATGGTGTTAGCCAGCTAACGGATTTTAAAGAAGGTTAAACATTTTAACCAATGGAATAAAAGTAATTTAATTAAGTTTCATGACAACAGGTCTTTTTAGTGGTATTAAAGGGATAGTTCAGGTTTATTGAAGTGGGGCAGTGTGCAATGTTCAGTGTTTACTCTCAGTTATTGGCTGTCTGCACACCTAGTCTGGAGAAGCAGTTTTGGAGTAGATATTAACAGCTAACATTTATAAAAGTTATTCTTTGTCATGTAAACCATTAAAAGCTCACCTTTTGAGTGAATAACTCTCATGTTCTTTCACCCTGAATACGTTAATTGTGCCAATTTAACTAAATTTTGTTTTGCATTGTGGTAGTAAATAATCATTGAATGCAAAAATGATGCACTCTACAATAATAAATAAATAAAAAGGGATGGTCTGAAATTTTATAAAATGTTAAAATTTAGTGCCTTTTTTTGTTGCGTAAATCTTCTGGCAGTTCAGTTCTCGACGTCGGTTAACTTGATTTATTTGTTGGAGATTTTTATTTCTGCAAACTGAGAGCGAGCTGACGTCCGCTGACAATATGTTGGACACCAACTACTCAAATAATTTATGAAATCCAACTTCTAAAATAAACAAAATTACATCCATTCCTCGAACATAAAATAAATATCTGATGAGATTTTTTTTTGTAAAAGGCCAAATTTTACCGAGTCCATTCCTCCTCACCACTTACCTCATTAAAGCTGATTTACCATTCAGGGCAATACAAACATCTCACATATGAACCATTTTTTATTTTTTTGATTTCAACACAGACATCCCTTACAAAGTGCAACACCTGTTAAACTACCTGCAGCATAAACTTTGCATAATAGATGTGATGTTGAATGCACTTAGCTCCCTCTACTGATTTCAGCTGAGATGTGCATCAACTAGAAACAGGGTGGGGTTTGCCAAACTTTAATGAACCCCAAACCATTGTTATATTATTGCCATTTATTATATAAAAGTTGGTTTAATAAAAGGACTCAGATTGTACAGTTTCTAGGCAAAACCTTTAATTTGCTCTTGACAAACAGAGGTGTAAATGTGGAATACTGTTGTGTAATAAAAAGTACCAAGTGTATGAGTTTAAGTGTAAAAGAAGAACTCACTCCAGTGTAATCGTATACTTCATTTGTGTTAAACAGTAATAAAGACAAAGCCTTTTGACATAACATGAATGGTATGTGTGATGTAAACACTTTTTCCCCTTGTGTTTCCAAAACATGACATTGATTTTCTTTATCTTTTTCCACTTTTTTTTAAAAAGATTTTTTAAATGTTTTAATTTTAAAGCTGTAATTTTCCAATTTGTAAATACTGTCCTGTGTATTTCAGGATGTCTTTGAGGAAGAGCTGGACGGTGCACTGATTGAACGTATCCGTCAGCTTCTCCCTGACAGATTCTGCATACCTGCTCTGCACCATCTCCCTCCAGCACTGCTGAAATCTGACTCTCATTTCCTCCTGGAGCGCTTCGCATACCTGTGAGCTGAACGTGTAGTTGTGCAGAAACACCTCTCCTCTCTTTAAATGCTCCTCACAGCTTTCGTGCGTCTCTGAAAGCAGGCTCTCCGCAGCTTTGAGCATCACGTTTAACTCCTTTGTGAGGAGTTTCTTCTCCTCCTCCTGTTTGCATTCAATAGTGCTCATGCTTTTGAAATGACTCCTCCAATCCTGCTTCTGCTCGTCAATCATCACAGGAAAACTTTCTTTTTCAGATCCCAGCATGCCCTTAGCTACCCAAAATACAGTTTCACCCAGAAGATTAAGATCGGGGATCTTATTCGCTGCTTTAACATAATTCTCATAATCCAGACTGTGGGTGATGCATTCTGCTTGTGTGTAGTTGAGCTCCCTGAAAAGAGTTTCTTTGTTTCCCTTGAAGCCCCAACTTCTCATGTAGCCAATGTGAGTCTTCACCCCAAACACGCTCCACCACTCCCATGCCTTGTGAATCAGGTTCAGCATGCACGGGTTGATGTTTCGTGTCAAACATGGGCTGTTCATTGTGAAAACGTACACCTTCCAGTCCTCAGGAACATCCCCTGAACGGAGAAGCTCCTGCGTTTGTCTGATGATGATGTCCTCGCTGTGCTCTCCGTTGTTGTAGTTGGGATAATAAGGCCCGTACATGACGAGCTCCTCTCGTTTCTCTATCACCGCCCATGAATGCTGCTTGTCGTCGGCGCCACATTCCTCTGTGATGTCTCTGTGAAAGGCGGAGAATTTACTGTTCGCAGAGTCACCGAGCAAAATGTCGCCGATGGCTCCTTTGGATCGGAGATGTTCTAAAACTTTCTTGGAGGAGTTTTGTGTGTCCGACCAGAACAACGTTTGTTCAAAGAGCCTCGCGGTGTCGGTCAGGTATTGGGCCCTCCTGTTCACACAGGTATGAGACATGCAGCTGTAATCGTTGTTTGTCCTGAGATACAACAAAATAAACAATACGTTTAGTAGATATTTTGCCAAATAGCTTAAATATTTGTAAGCTCAATCATCCATAACAACAAAAAAGGTTAAATCGTGCCATCTGGATCAGTTTCTTTAAGTGAGAAACTTTTCGTCCCCCATCCAGAGGACTTCATCAGTCTTCGGCCTGCCAACCAGATCTGTCCCATGGGCAGCCTTCACTGCTGCGTTTCAAGACAAACTCTTGTTGGAATCTCAGAAGTAGATGTTGAAAACATCCAAAACAATCACTCATCATGTACAACAGGGATCTGCAAACTTTTTTTTCAAAAGAGTCATTTCTGCCCCTTCGTTCTCTAAATGAAACATGACCAGAGCTGCAAAATCTGCTACAATTGTCATTATCAACTGGTGGCCCATGGGCCACTTTACGTTTGTTAGAGGGGGCTTTTCTGGTTAGCTGGTGCGAAATTATACAATAAAACTAAAAACATTTTTTAATTTTTCATTTAGTCTCATTGAGTCATGAGAACTCATTTTCATGAGAGGCCTGTTTTTGGGAGCAGATGGTGGGGCTTAAGGGCCTTGCTCAGGGGCCCAGGGTGGGGCAAATGAGGATGGAGGCAGGTGTGGGTGTTTCACCTTTACCACCTACATTTTGATATTGATGGTACTGGGAGTTGAACCTGCGACTTTCTGATCACAGACCCATCTTCTCTAACCTCTGCACCACCAATCCCCCATCAACATCAGCATCTAATGATTGTTAACATTTATTGATATTTTGACATTTTGAGACAAAAGAAAATACTGGATTCCATCCATCCATACATACATACATCCATACATACATCCATATATCCATTATCTTTACTCGCTTCTTCCTTTTCTGATTGCAGGGGGTCACTTGTGCCCTTGTCCAGGTCACAAGTCTGTCACAGAAGACTGGATTCTTGTAAAGAAAAAATATATATATTTTGCCATTTGAAAAAAAAAAACTAAAACAATGAACTGTGCAGGCTTATGTGTTTTTTTTAATTGTGGAGAAATTGAGTAACCTACTTTGAAGAAATAAAGCATAAAGTTCAAGGAAATATAATTTGTTTCGTGTTTATTACTAGTATCCACATATTTGCAAAGGAAATGACAGGAAAACTGTTAAAACAGTCATTTATTGTTGTGGGTATAACATCCTATAAATTTCAGTTTTGTGTTAGTTTTGGTCAAAGCTTGAAAGAGCCGCTGCAGAGGGACCAAAGAGCTGCATGTGGCTCCAGAGCCGCAGGTTGCAGACCCCTGATGTACAACAAACAAATGTTTTAGGCCAGGTGGCCAACTTGCTACTCACAGAAACAGCCTGAGGACAGCCAAGGACAAAATGGTTCAGAAAAAGGATTGTAAGCTAACACTTGATTGTTGTACATGATGATTGATTGTTTTGGATGTGTTAAAAGTCTACTTCTGAGATTCCAACAGGAGGTTGGCTTGAAACACAGCAGTGAAGACTACTTATGGGACAGATCTGGTTGATGAAGTCCTCTGGATGGGGGACGAAACGTTTCTCACTTAAAGAAACGGGTCCAGATGACATGATTTAACCTTTTTGTTGTAGCTTAAATGTTGTTCACCAGCTGTTTTTTCATTGTGTGATCAGTGCAGAAACTGATGTATGTGGTTTTAAAAAGAAATCTTCATCAGAACTTCTAATTTGTTGTTTGGATATGTAACAAATTTGTCCACATTATTTGCAGACACTTAGAATCCAGATATTTTGAAGTGGTGTTCTGTGAACAGATTGTGCACAGTAAATGTCTTACCTGTTGTATATACCATTTTAAAGTTTAATTCTGACCAGACTGACAAGCTACTCAGTGTGAAGCCAAGACCAAAATGGATTCCTGGCGTCTTTGAATGACTCCAGTCTCAGAAGATCTTATGTGAACACTATTTTACAAACTTTTAGCATAGTGTCAGTTTTAATTTTACACGATTATTCATACAGAAATATTACAATATTCCTGTTTAAAGTGCTACAGCTAGCTGTTATAGCTATATGCACTTACATAACTGTGGAATTTAATGTATATAACTGTGTAATGCAAAACTGACAAAAATACAAATGTTTGTAACGTAATATTCACATAAACCACAATAAAATGTTTGAGAACCGATTTGTTTTTGTTTAACAGCAATCCACTTTGGTTTTAGCAGCATTCATGCTAGCTTTTAGCTTGTCAGTCGAGTCAAAAATAAACAATTTCTTCAAACTGAAGTTGATCAAAGAGCTATCTGCAACAGGTAAGATATTATCTGTTCATTATTTTGCACAGAAACTTATTTGTAATGGTTTGAAATAACCTTTTGAGTTGAGATCTTGTAACCAACAGTTTATCTATAATTTTCATCATTTTCTTACCCATCAAACCTTCTGGTGACCCATTTTGGACCCGGCACTGGGACATTCCAGAAGAAACCACTCCTATAAAAAAAGGTTAATTAAAGTTAGATAGTTCCTCGGAACACTTTGTAATAACTCTCAGGTACTCTGAAGAAGACACATGTCTCTGAACCACGTCAGCAAAATGCCTTGGGGGTGTTTTTGAAGGTATAGATATAATGACTGAGTCAGTCACTTGAACTCAAGTTTCATGTTACTTGTACCTACAGAACGTTTCACAAACCAAGAACTGAAGTTGAAGTAAATATCTGGTAAATTATCACAAAAGATGAACTTTAACTTTGATATAGGTCCACAAGTTTTATATAAGAACCTGTTGGTCATACAGAATCCTTAACAAATCATAAAGAATAGTTTTATTATCTATTGTGTTCCTAATTTGTCTATAATTACAAACAAGTCTCTGCTAATTGAAGGATTTCACTAATAGACTGGAATTACCGTATTTTCAGGTGTATAAGTTGCACAGAAGTAAAAGTCGCGTGAGTCAAAAAAAGCATCATGAAGAGGAAAAAATGTATATAAGTCGCTTCGGCATATAAGTCGCATTTATTATGGGTCACCGCTGTATTATGCTTTTATTTAATGGTCAAAACAGTTAATTTTGCCTGGGTGGTGTGGCACCATCCATCCATCCATCAGGCTGGAGCCGCTAGCTCTCCAGCATTCCTCCGCCTGCACCAGCTGAGTGAAGCGAGCGAGTACAGGAGGACTCGCTGTTGCAGTTCTTCGAAATTTAAAGCGTCAGTCAAACATTGCGTTATGAATATGGAAAAAACAAACAAACAACATATATAATTCGCTTTGGCGTATAAGTTGCATGACTGACAAATCTATGCAAAAAAAAACTGTGACTTATACACCGGAAAATACGATACTTGTTTTTGGCTGTGTGCCCCCACAATTAAAAGGTAAGACTCTAAAATTTCAGTATTTCCTTTTAAATACACAAATATTTAAATTAATAAAACAGGGAAGACAAAAAAATGTCACATTTAATTTGACTGCAAAATATTTCCTGTGATGGTTTAAAAACAAAAGTAAAAACATGGATGATACGGGCAAAAAAAAAACGAGTTTAAGTTCAAATATATATTTTTTATTACATCACAGTGCTGAAAGACATGCAATAATAATAAAAAATTGCCTAAAACTTAATCAGTTTTACCTGTCTGCTAGTAAAATATTCCATAAACCAGTGGATGGATCAGAAACTAACTAGGTATCACCACTTTAAGATATCAGTCACAGCTAACTGGCTTTTGCAACCTAAAATAATGGGCATTGTTTAGTATATTTCACAGATATTCAGGTGATTTGATGTGATAGTCACTGAAAATGACTGCTAAAACAATCTGGGCACTAAACTGTGCCGTATAAGGTGAGATTGCGGGCATCATTTTCAAGGTTTGTCTAAAATCGCTACAATGCTATAATTTCTATACATAAGATTATCTTCTCTGTGATTCCTGGCATTAGGCCTTTAAATATACATGAAATGGAAAATAAGCTTACAGTTGACTGTTACAAGTGGAGAATAAAACCACCTAAAATGATTTTTAGGCACAAAAACTGTTGTAACCCTCTTCTTGAAACGTAAGTGGAAGTCTTTCTTCACCCAGCACGATGCTTAAAATGTACAGTGTAAACCAACTTACGTCAGCTCATCATGCTGTACAGTTCTGTGTGACCAGTATGCTAAACATTTCTCCTTACAGAGCGGAGGCTGCTCCTTATGTTGGTGAAACAGAGGACGTTTACGGCCCAACCTGGAAGAAAACATTAAATCAAGGATTAGATTATAGCAAATCATTTATAAACCAAGCAAGTTTGTATTAAAGCACCTCACGTGATGTTACTGTACAGCTGAAGGACTGATTCAGTAAAAAAAAAAAAAAAAAAAAAAAAAACTAGAAAAACAAAGCTGAGCACCTATTTACTCATAGTTTTTATGTAAAAGTAAAACCCACATTTACTCACATGGAGATCAGCCTTGTCAGCACTGGTTTCTCTGGAGCTGCTGAAGTGTTCCTCCTGTTCTGTCCTGGCTCAGCGCAGTCATAACTGACTGTCTTTATTTCACGTCTGACAACTTAAACATTGGTTGAGCTCATGTAACTAAAAAAAATCACCTGGAAGTTCGTTGCTGCTCACACCAAGCTCCACCTCCATGTTCCAAGCACTATAGATGCCTAACCGGAACCCCGTTAATGTATTCCTGCTTTGAGCCAAGTTTCACTGTTTGTTGTCATTAACATTCACCTGGCACAAAGAGCAACACCTATGTTCTGTCTCATCAGTTTCCAAACGTATGAGAAACCTTTGAATGAAAGGTGATCAGTCCAAACCAGTTTAAAACAAGGGGACAGCTTAAAGGACAGAAAGATGATGAAGAAGGTCTGAAGACACAAACAAACGTAAAGCTTCAGTTTAGATTAGTATTTTGTGCCAGGATGATTCATGGAGGTTGATAATGAAAGATGAGCGCAGTGCACATGTAAGCCCTCGAGGAAAACACCATTACATCAGGACTGTGCACGTTGATCTGCCTTCCAACTGATATCCCATCTGATTAAAGGAAAAGTGCCTGAATGTTTTCAGTGGCAATTTTTTTTCTGTCTGTTTTAACAGAAATCCTTCAGAGATCTATATCTTTGGATGAATGTAATGTTAAAAATGACGAGCCAAATAAAAAACAAAACAGTTTTTGCCTACTTTTTAATCTACTGGGCTGAACGTGAAAACCTAAAGGTTACTGGCGTGTGTCAAAAACTGCCCGGGGGGAAAAAGTGAAACAGAAAAGCTGACAGGTACAATTGGCCACAGTAAGAGTTTAATCTCCATTAGCATTCAACCTGTCATTTATCTCCTTAGAGGTTTGAAGTAGTCTGCATGAACGAGTGAAATAAATACACTCAGCCAAATAGAGACAGTGGACTTCTGTGCAAACAGAGATATGCTGAGAAACACGTTAGACAAGATCTGGGCGGAGACTGTGTCAGTAGAGTTCATTTTGCTCAGAAAATTTGTAGCAAAACGCACAAAATGTTATTATTTGTCTTTTTTTTTTTTTACTTCATTGTACCAGTAATTATAATATTAAACAGCTGAAGATATAAGCAGCTAACATCCAACAGACATTTGAATTAGATTGATTGAGTCAAGCAGCACGGTGGCACAACTGGTAGAGCTGCTGCCTCTCAGCGAACAGGTCCCTGGTTCAAACCCCGGTTCAGGGGCCTTCTGGGTGGAGTTTGCATGTTCTCTCCGTGCATGCGTGGGTTTTCTCCGGGTACTCCGGTTTCCTCCCACAGACCAAAAACATGCATGTTAGGCTGATTGGTAACTCTAAATTGTCCCTAGGTGTGAGTGAGAGAGTGAATGGTTGTTTGTCTCGTTTGTCTCTATGTGTCCCTGTGATGGACTTGCGACCTGTCCAGGGTGTACCCTGCCCCTCGTACAGTGATTGCTGGACATGGGCACCAGCGACCCCCGTGATCCAAAATGGAATAAACGGGTAAAGATAATGGATGGATGATTCAGTCAAAGCAGGTGGGGTTGTTTCTACAGGGCGAATTTCAGCTAAGAGGCAGCAACAATAAATTTTCTTTAACAGGGACCATGGAAGGACAGTATTTTTTCCTCTAAGAGGGTCTACTTTAACATCCAAGAGGCTGCCCAAAGGTTTCACTGTAATCTTCAGCGACCAGTGACAAGGGAAGGTGTTCACCTCGTAGTTTCTTGATGCCTGTAAGTTCTTTCCAAGTTTCAAAATCTACAAAGTATTTTTTACTAAAACATTTTATTTTTTTCTTACCAGATTTACAAGCTAATTGCTAGTGGGACCAATAAAAGAGGGGATTGCAATATTTTATGAACTTTACATCAATCATTTCTGTGAAGTTCTTTACATTTATGGTTGTTTGTGCGTTCAAAAAGCAGCAGCAGCTAGCTGTAGCACTTGGAATGCAGCATGCGGCACTTCTAGAAGGACTACAGTAATATAAAAATACATGCTGAAATAACAGAGAATTTTTTTAAGTTAAACTATGTTTTTACAAAATGAGATCATTAAAAACCTGGAACAGAAAATATCATGTTTTCATAACTGTCCCACAAAACAGCAGTTCCAAATATATAAACTTTATTTAAGGCCCATTTGTCAGTGTTAAAGTCTCAAGACATAAATATGAGCCAGTTTTGGTAAGCCAGGGTCAGAACGCCAAGGCCCTGCCTTCAGCCACTCCTCATGGAGTCATGCACCCGACTCGTATGGTCCCTCCTGCAGGTGGCTGAAGTTGCCAAAGTAGTTAAAAAGCTCCGAGGCGGCAGTGCTCTGGGGTTGATGAAATTTGCCCCGATTTCCTTAACGCTCTGGATGTTGTGGGGCTGTCTTGGTTGATACACCTTTGCAACATTGCATGGACATCTGGGACAGTGCCACTGGATTGGCAGACTGGGGTGGTGGTAACCCTCTTCAAAAAGGGGGACCGGAGGGTGTGCTCCAATTACAGGGGCATAACTCTCCTTAGCCTTCCTGGTAAGGTCTATTCAGGGGTACTAGAGAAGCAAATCCAATTTCTGGTCGAACCTCAGATCCAGGAGGAACAATGTGGGTTCCGTCCTGTCTGTGGAACACTGGACTAGCTCTTTATCCTCACTAGGGTCCTCGAGGGGTCATGTGAGTTTGTCCATCCAGTCTACATGTGTTTTGTGGACTTGGAGAAGGTGTTCAACTGTATTACTCGGGGTCCACTGTGGGGGGTGCACCAAGTGTATGGGATTAGGGGCTCGTTGCTCTGGGCTGTTTGGTCCATGGTACCAGGGTTTGGTTTGCATTGCCGACAGTAAGTCTCACCCTTTCACAGTGGGAATTGGACTCCACCATTGTCACTGATTCTGTTCATAATTTTTATGGACATAATTTATCGGTGCAGCCAGAGGGCAGAGGGAGTCCGGTTCAGTAGCCTCAGGATTCCATTTATGCTATTTGTGGATGATGTGCTCCTGTTGGCATTGTTGTGCCATGATCTTCAGCTTTCACTGGAGCAGTTTGCAGCAGAGTGTGAAGTGGATGGGATGAGAATCAGCGCCTCCAAATCTGAGGCCATGGTCCTCAGTTGGAAAAGGGTGGATTGTTCACTTCTTGGGTCAAGGGTGAGGTTCCGCCTCAAGTGGAAGAGTTCAAGTCTTTTGGGGTTTTGTTCACTATTGAGGGAAGAATGGAGTGTGAGATCTGCCTTCTCCTGTTTTTCTAAAATGAACCCAAAATATTCATTTTTATTTATTTATTTTTTTGGGTGCTGCCATCTGATTTTCTTTGGATCCAGTATCTGCACTCCAGCGTTGAGGGCTTTACCACCTACACACCATTTCACCTGCTAATAAGCTGCAACACTGTCAATCACAATGTAACATTCACTTTTTGTTGCATTTTTTTGTCAAATAACTAATTAAACCAAATGGATTGGGGGAAATTGCACATTTTAACAAAGAGCAGCAAGTAAGAACTACACAAATCAACAAAAAATCAAGACCTGAAAAAACAATTATCTGAAGTTTGTTTTATATTTTAGTCAATAAAATGTCTCATTTGTTCACACGGAGGGGTGGGACTTAAAAATTGTTCTGCAGTCAGCCACTAGGGGGCACTCATTTTTTTGTGGCTTCAACTTCTGGCTTCTGGTCTTGTTTCTAATTATAGTATATTATTATTACAACTGACCTTTTCCCAGTTACTGAACATGTTCAAAGTCATCACATTGCAATCTTTGGGATCTATATAGTTTTTAGCTTACTTCCGGTTTGTTGAAATACATTTAGCCTTAACAGTGCTAATATCTAGCTATGTTTCATCTGTGCTCTGCATTCATTCCAACGCAGGAACATTATAAGTAGCTATTGCAAAGTTACATACCAATAAAACTAATTTATAAATATGTTTGTATAGGTCTTATAGTCAATAAAAAGCAGGTGTTCAGGACCAAAAACAATAGTTATTAACAACAACTGGAAATGGCTATTTGGGGGCGAGGTGCTTGATTTAATGCATTTGCATAATGATCATTGTTCTGAATCATTAAGTTCAGTTTGTTCATGAACAAATTCACAACTAAACACATCTCAGTGCAGTTTGTAGAAAGTAAAATAGTTCATTTCAAAAACAATCATATAGATTTACAGTGCCACTGGCGTTCAGTTTATTTCAGTAAAGCATAATTCAGTCCAATACTGACAGATATTCAGGTGTTCAATCACAGCCTAATTCACAATCAGATTTAGTGAATTAGTAAGTAAAAAAGTATTTTTTTTAATTAATTTAAAAATGTTTTCTAGATAGAGACCAAATAAATACATAAAATATTTAACTTGATCCAATCCCCCATCCTGAGGCCACTGTGGGGAGGAACACCATTTTAACAGGAAGAAACATAAGGCCCATGGTGTGTGTCTGCAAGATATGTTGCAAGGTTAAAAAAAACAACAACTGAGTTTTACAAAAACACTATGAGTTTTTATCAAAATGAACTCATAATCATTTAATTGTTTCAGATATGATTTGTGGTTTTACCACATACTTTGCAGCAGAAACACACCTGTAAAGACTCATGTTATCACTTATGCTGTCTGAATAAAACATCTTTCAGGACTACGTCTGGACTTGCCTTGACTGACATATCTCTCTGAGCCTTGGCAAATTTAACTTTTTGATTGCTATCAATAGGAAGGATTGCGGAGGTGTGGCAGTGGGAAAGGATTATTAAATTTGTTGATGATCAAAAGAGATTTAAGACCTAAAAAGATGCCTCTTATCTTCAACTTGAGCAGAATACTGTATGTCATAAAACACTTGTGTGAAGTGCAAGTAAATTATGCAGAGCTCTAGAGTTGCAGGGTTTTATTGGAATGCATCCATCTGCAATTGTATTTTTTCTTCTTTGTTGTGTAAGATCTGCAGATACACCTTTTCATCCACAGAGGGCATTTTGATTCATGACCGCAGATGGCGTGCATGTATCATGGCTAAATCCTACATGTATTAGAGATAATTTAAAAACTACTTTTATAGCTAACTTGGAATGCAAAAGCTTGTTTGACTTATGCTAAATTAAAATCAGCTTTATATATAAAGCAAAATTAAAACAACCAGAGTTGACCTTGTACAATGAACTCCAAAAAAAAAGTTAATTTAAAAAATACATTAAAGGCTAAAGGGATGCATATCACCCAACATCTTTCTTGCCAGTGTTTAAGATTAAGATCATATTTGGTCCAAAAGTTGGTGTTTTGGTCAAACTAATATTATTTGTTATCTTATACAATATTACAAGATATCAAGTTCAGAGTACTTGTTGTGAACAAATGTCAGCAACTATCATACCAAATATTAGGTCAAAATTTGTAAAACTGACAGAGTTATAGCCATTTTTGGGTTAGCTAATATTTATTAGCTGTGACAGCCATCTTGGCCTGACTCCAAAAGGTTATCAATTATAAATGTACATCAAATGATTACTTTTGGTGAATTTTATCAAATTCCTTTTAGTGGTTCATGAGATATGTTGCTAACAGACACACAATGCTAACTTCAAAAACAGTTTAGGTTAAAGTGTTGAACCTTGTGCAATAAGTAGCAATTAAAGTATGTGTGTGAATGACGCTCACCTACTATAATGCCAAAGTTTAGAACAATATCTGCTAAACTGATGAGAGTTTTGGCAAGTTTTGTGTTATTTAAGGTTCATTAGCTTTAATTAGATTGGCTCCAAAAGTTAATTAGTTGTAGATGCATATCCATTTATTACTTTCTGCAAGTTTCATAACAATTTGTCCAATGGTTCATCAGATATTGGTAACAGACAGGCACACACAAACACACACATAACATTATAGTCTGCCTTTGCCTTTCAGCAAATTGAATCAAAAACTAAAGACAGACATGTTAAAACATGTAATGCACAACTCGGTTTAAATATACTAAAAGGCATGAGTGACAAAAAAGTTTTTTTTTTATATAATAATTTGAAAATGTTCAGAGTTTTTGTATCACTGTCAAATTTTCACCTGATGTATCTGAAGATCACAAGACCACTTTTATCTCATCTAATTAGCTAAATAAGTCCACACCACTACATGACTATAAAGTCAAATTCTGTTTAAACAGCAGACTAGTTGTGCTCTAATGACTTATTTACGAGCCCCTCAGTAATGAAACAGCTCATCTTTCCTTAGTCGACAAGTTTTGTCACACACTGCTCTGTAAACTCTGACGTTTACAGCAGCTTATTATCGCCCACCGCTGAAGGCAAAGTGTAATGTTTTTACCTGTGTGTGTGTTTAACTCATGAACCACTGAACAGATTTTAATCAAACTTGCAAACGTATTCATTAAATGAACACCTAAAACTGATTCACCTTTGGACTATGTTTAATTCAAGGGGGCCGACTCAGAAAGCAAACACAAAAATGGATGTGACTCAGTCAGCTTGACAGATGTTGAGCTAAAATTTGGTGTGGCAGTAGCTGAGACTGATCCTCTACTTGTCAACCTGTGTTTGCACCTTTGCAAATATGAATCAGCTCCGTCTGTTAGCAAAATATTTCAAGAATCACCAAATGGATTTTAATAAAACTGTTATTAAGTAAGGGACTATATACAACTGATTAACTTTTAGACTCAACCCAATTCAAGATGACGTACACAGCCAAGTGACCTTAGAAAACCCCAAAATTAGATATAAAACAGTCAATTTTAGAAAAGTTGAACTTTAATGTGGTTGTAGCTGATTTTCATCTCCACACACTCCAAGTTCAACACATTCAATTTGCTTGAAAGTTTGTCATTAATTGTTGAAGGCAATTTTGTCTGTTAGCAAAATATCTCAGTAGACCAATTTTAATGAAACTACCAAACAGTAAATGTTGGTTATACAGCCACATCTGATAAACTTTTAGAGTCAACCCAATTTTAAATGGCACTACATCAATCGACCTTAAAACGGTTGTAGCTAAAGGAATTTTACATACATTGGGCTAGCATAACACAACCTTAAAGTTTAATAATATAATTTATATAAGTCCAATTTCTCTAGATCATAGGTGAGAGGGGAAACGTTCACCCCAGGTACAGTATTCTGTCTTTTTAAAGAACCGGTGCTGGTTTTCTGTGGGTTCTCAAACGGACCAATCACAACGCGCGCTCGGATGGCACTTCATGAGGGCGGGGCATCACGCCAGACGATCCTCTCGCTCATTGGCTCCCCAGTTCTAAACCATGACGATACAGCCAATCAGCGGCGTCGGTCGATGTGACGCGTTTCATGACAGAAAGCTTCGTTCTCTTAATGGTGATCTCCTCACAGCTGTATCTCAGCAAAGCGCAGCCCGGATGGAGAGCATCTTCTCCCGTCCACACGGCTGATTTTTAAAGTAGCAGCGTAACATCTGACGTCTGAGGCACCATGGACATCCTGAAGTCTCTGGGGCACCCGGAGGAGATATTTAACCTGTTCAAATTCAAGATGGGAGGATGTCGGGCCGTCATGCCAAAGTTGGATTATGTGAGTATATTTTAAATGAGCAAATTGTGCATTTGTTGCTTTGTCACGTGATTCGTGCAGCACATCGTGTCCTGCTCGCTTCTACTTCTTCCTCTTAAGCATCATCCCAGACCAGATGCACTGTCGCAACCGCGCACAGGTTTATAAACAACTAGATCTTCACCCTGCAGTGGATTGACGTGCACGGTGAAAACCGAGGCAGCTAATTGGACTTTGTCAAATCAGATCTGTGTTCTCGGCCCCGCTGGCACGGGCAGCGATGACCACTGACGCGGGATTAAAGTTGCTTAATGAGATTAGGGTTCATCAGCAAAGAGAGATGCTGCACGTGCGTTTGACGCCTAATCCCGCAGTTTTAAACACCACTGAGAGAGATGGAGCCTGTAAAGGCTGCACAATAGTGTGATCGTCAAACTGGTTTTGCAGAAATTAACATGCCATTTTTCTTCTGATCAGACTCTTACAGTCAGACATAATGAAGTTTCTAAGAAGATCTGCTTCCACTGATCTGAAGTGCAGGCCATGGGTGTCACTTTGACCCTGTCATTGATTTAGATAAGTTGTCAGAGCAGTTTTCTTGCGATTTGGTCCACTTTAAGGTAAACAATGCATTCCGCAATCAGGGCCTTGTGATAATGTGGAGTCTACAGGCGTGATGTGTTCAAACTAAGCAGTGTCAAGGGTCAATATGCATATCTAGGGTGACTGGGGTAAGTTTTCTTCCACCATGTAAAATGTCTCACGAGACACCAAAAAAAGGTTGACTAAGACCTCTTTACTATAATTTGCATTACATTACAGAGGATTAATACATCCAAAGGACCTGATTATTCTACCTGGATTATTCAGCATGCGTTGCATTAGATTTGTGTAAATTCAGAGTTTCTCCACTAGGTGGCAGCAAATGTCAACTTTTAATTTCAGTTGTTTATTTATTTATTTATTTGTTTATTTATTGCCAGTTTGACCTATTTACCGTAATACGTGCAATTGCTGCAAAACTAAGTTTATGGGATACAATATTGAAGCCCAAAAGCTTATACTTAATTTCGTCTGTTGTTCACGAGAAATGCTTGCATACGCTGAACGCGATTATTGCATCTTAAGCTCGTCTTTCTCTTTTATCGCATCCTTGATGTTTTAGTTAGTGGTCTGGACCAGAATAAGGGTTAAACTGCTGCGTTTTGTGGTTTATCGGGGGTTAGGAAACACAGGGAGGCGGTTTTGAGCAGAGGAGGCGGGGAAGTGAGGCGGCTCAAACACAACAGATCTACAAACAATCTGCACCCGCGCTGCTCGTTCAATGTAGACTCAAGCATGTTTACAGATCAGTTAGAAGCTTCTTGTCTATGCTTGACCCCTTTCGGCTAGCTTGTCCTCTACATGGACTCTTCGAAACCAGCCCACAAGACACATGGACCGAGTCGACTCCTAGTTGCGCATGGCCGGAGCTTGTTGCAAGTGTTCGGGCTCTCTGTCCGTGTTTAGGCGCTCTCTCTCGGTGGCGCCGCGGTGCTGCGGCTCCGCTCCTCGGTCTCCCTTCCTGCAGCAGGGCTGGAGGCTCGGAGAGCGAGGCCTGCAGGAGGCCGCCCGACCCCGCAGACCCGTGGGCTTCTACCGACAAACAGCCTTCCTTTGTCTCTCCTGCCAGGAGTCCATGACGGAGAGTCTGCGGACCTGCTACGTCCATCTGAACCAGACGAGCCGGAGTTTTGCAGCCGTGATCCAGGCGCTGGACGGAGAGCTGAGGTGAGTCTGAGGAGGAGGTGTGTCTGCAGGCATCGTGTTTTTACCTGGCGTGGACAGATCTGGAGGGAGGCGTTGGCTGCAAGAGTGCAAACGGGAAGTGTAAACAATATTTTGCTGAAAGGTGCGCATGCATTTGAGCTAAATTGTGTTGTTTGTTCACCAAAAGGGAGAAAAGCAGCTGCAGACAGCAACTTCTGTGCATACCTGCAAAAATAAATACCAAGAGCTGTCAGGACTGGTCCAACGTGACATCATCATCATGATCAAAGTGATGCATTTTCAAACCAGTTGCTTATTATTGACATATTATCAGAAAGTTGCATCAGTGGTCAAATCAATCATTTTATTAAATGACTTGGTTTTTGTCTCCTAGTCAAAACCAAAACTCCTGTGCGACTATATAAAATGCTTTGCCCACTCGCTCCACTGCATTTTAACGGTTTGTTTTGTATATTTCAGGTTTATATTCGCACGAGGCAATGGAGAAGTACAGATCTCTAAATAATCATTGCATATAAACTAGGGGTGCACCGATTGCAGTTTTCTGGTCATCACGATTTCTAAAAAGTCTGACCTGCCGATTCTGATTTTGTTTTATAAGCGACGCCGTCAGATGTTATAAGGTCGCAACGCACCATTAAATTTCCAATATTATTTTATTGAAAAACATTGTACAATATCCTAGAAACAATACAAACTTGTTTTAACTGGCCATGGGGTAGTGCTCTGAAATATAAATGAAGTTTATACAATTGTTGTTAAAACTACAAAAAATCTGTAAAATCGGTTTCTCATGTAAGTATTGGCCGATCTCGGATTTCCCAAAATTAAGGAAATCACGGCCGATTTATCAGTGCACCCCTAATATATACTTGAAGTAAAAAATACCGAACAGATGTGTGCGTGATACGTGGTGACCAAAGTGTGTCTACAGCTAGTGCTGTGCAAATGAAGCAATGAACCACTTCATCAGTTGTATTAAAAATAGGTTAATTCATTCAGTGCTTTGTTTCAGGACATTAAAATGGCAGACATCAAAACTATGTGAGAGTGAAAGTGATAAAAAAAAACAAACGCAGTGATGCAACGATAAAAAAACAACCTGACAAAGTAAAGTCGGTTCCTCTGGACGAATTCTTCTTCTTGAAATGTTTCACATCTTATCCAAAGGACTTCTTCAGTCTGAGGAGCTGCAACAAACACAGTCTTATAAATAGCACCTTCTCATAGTGGATCAACCAGTTTGTTGTTGACACCAGAACTAGCTGTTCACATGATAAAGGAGGACCATCAACTGATGTGCTCTGATGGCCACTTGCTATTCACAGAGAGCTGAGTGATACTGGCAATAACAGCATTGTAAGAAGGTGACAATTGAACATGGAGGCCTCCGCCCCGTTAAATGATGAACGGGTTCTTTTCACAAAGATGGCTTCCTTCACTCCTCTCTCAAACCATCGTTCCTCTCTTATCAAGAGTGTGGACATCTTCATCCCTGAAAGAGTGACCTCTGGCCTGCAGATGAGTGTAGACCGCAGAGTCCTGGCCTGTTGATGTTGCTCTTGCAAAATGCATTTTGTTTTTTGGGTTGCAATATGATCCTTTTACGCACCAACAAACCTGGTGAATCTGCCTCAAACAAGCAGTACCAAGCGGTTCGAACTGGTCACGTGATTCACTCAGGAAACTGAAGCAGAGGCCGCTTCGAACATCGTCCATCGCGTGTTTTTCTTCCGCGCCAAAGCAAAGCAGTGGTTTTGAGTTCGAAGCTTGTACCGGAGCATCGGTGTCAGACAGCCATCACTATCTTCAACAGCTTTCCCTTCTCGATCTTGCAGATGGAAAAATTAAATATTTTCATTCCCACAACAACGTCTCACTATTTTGTCAACTTTCCCCAGACTAACATGTCAGCCTCCTTGTATGGTGCGTTCACGTGACCACGTACCTGATTGTCCGACTTTGGGAATGTGTTTTGCCCTTTTTAAATGATAAAAAAATATATATTTATCTAAAGAACATTTGAAGAAATATGATAAAATGCTGATGTAGATAAATGGAAAACAAGAAGTTACTGGTTTTGCCAAATTCCATACATTTATTGCATATCAACACTTTGCTTCCGTCTTGTTGAAGCGCCAAAATTCACGGTTGAAACCCGTGCCTTCCTGTAAAGAGTTTTTCTCTGCAAAAAGAAGCTGAGAACTTGTTTACTGATTTTAATTTTTTTTTAATTAAAAGCTTGATTCCAGAATTGCGCCGCTCAAGGTGGCTGCATGTTGGAGTAGCTCTCAAAGTCATTCTGAGTTTTTGCTTTGGAAAACTTTAATTACTGTTTTTTCTGAATGCAAATCGCTTTTTTCGGATGATTACTTCCTCCGATATCAGATGCTGTGCTGCTGGCAGGATTTTTACTGAAACCGTTTTTACTTTTGGATGTTTGTTATGATGCGTAACCATAACAACAGGGTGGTTTTCTACAACTGGGAGCAGCTGATTAACATCTCAAAAGCTCAAATCTCAACTACAGCCTCGAATCCCAAATGTGGTGAAAAGGAGGTGCCGTGGATGCATTGCAGCCTGACTGCAGAGATCTTGGAGGTAGCAGGTAACACAGGTTGTGACAGCGGGAGGACCAAGATCATCCCCCGGCACCTGCAGTTAAGTCTGCGGGCTTGGTAGGCTGCTGGGAGAAATGGCCATCGCTCAGGGAAAAGTTCTGCCTGACATTCAGGCAGTCCTGCTGCCCAAGAGGACTGAGACGTCTGCTGGGTCTGGGTGGACAGATTGACATCTGTAGCCATTTTCTTCAGATGCGCTGTGGGACGGACTGCTACAAGAGATCTTTCCAGCCCAAAGACATCTGGAACAACTTTAATGAAACCAAGATAAGCTACAACAACAATTAATTTCCCTTTGGGATTAATAAAGTATATTTGAATTTGAATTTGTGTGAAAAATGCTAAAGAGCTCAAACCAAACCGAGCATCTGCCATTTTGAGAACCGAACAAAAAAAGGAAGGAGAGACGGTCCATGTCCCTCCCATTTTTCTTAGAGAGACGCGCTGCTCGCTCCCTCACTATCCATTCTTTGGTTCAAACAGTCTTATGCTGCCATCCGATGGTCGAAAAAAGGTACTGCACGCAAAATAAAATTAACCAACATTTGTTAAGTTTGACAATAATTACTAATTATTGTCAAATTTCAAACGACGTTATCGTTTATCGCAATAATTTCTGAGACAGTTAATCACCCAGCAAAAGTTGTGACAGGCCTAATGAAGCCATGCATTAACACCTTAATTGTCCATTAAATATTTTCAATCTAGGATCGTCCCCCACCTGTTCTGCTTGACAACTCTGCTCAGTCTTGTTTTTGTTTGCATATTCTGCAGTCGTGTCACTCCTTCCATTCTGTGTTTTATGATCCAGACATGCCGTTTGCATCTTCTACCTGGTGCTGCGCGCGCTGGACACGGTTGAGGACGACATGACGATCCCCCTGGACAAGAAGGTGCCCATGCTGAATGATTTCCACACCTACCTGTTCGAGGAGGAGTGGTGCTTCACTGAGAGCCAGGAGAAGGATCGGCAGGTTCTCGAGGATTTCCCCACGGTCCGTATGCACAGAGGTGGTTCTGATCAGGAGCTTTGTTACTCATCTTAATGACGCCGTTCATCCTGTGAATCCAGATCTCACTGGAATTCAGAAACCTCGCTCAAGAATACAGAGACGTCATCTCGGATATCTGCCACCGTATGGGGGTCGGCATGGCTGAGTTCCTGGAGAAGAAGGTGGCATCCATGAATGAGTGGGACCAGGTAAAGGACACTCATGTCACTGTGATGTTAGGAACTTGACACAAAATATAATAAATGGCTTTAATTCAAGTCTGGCATAAGCTGGTCCAAAAGATGGGACAACATCCGACCAAATGCTCTCCCAAAAGTTTAATGGTAACAGCAGACCACAGGTATTCTTGTCAGTTTGTCTAGTCTGTGTCCTCAGCTGTTTTCTACTTATCTCAGTCTTACCACACTGGAAATTCTCCTTCGTGTCTGCCACACATAGATTAAGCATGTCTCTGCCAGCATTATGCAAATGTTTAATCAGTGTTTTGTGTTTTCTGTCTGCGATCTGTGCAGTACTGCCACTATGTCGCTGGTCTGGTCGGCATCGGCCTGTCGAAGCTCTTCTCTGCCTCCCAGCTGGAGGACCCCGAAGTGGGACAGGACACTGAGCTGGCAAACTCCATGGGTCTGTTCCTCCAGAAGACCAACATCATCCGAGACTATCTGGAAGACACACAACAAGGTCGTACCTTTTGGCCACAAGAGGTAAACTTTTGAGTGCAATTGTGTTTGTGCGCCCTATTGTACTGTGTTTTTTGCTGTATAAGTCACTGTTTTTTTGGATAATTTGCATGCACTGCGACTTATAGGCCGAAACGACGCATGTATAAATTTTTCCCCCCATATTTATAAACCAATTTTTGGCTGAGATATGACCATTTTCATTCATTCTGACTGAAAAAAAAAATTGAACTGTACCATTTTCAGCCACTAGATGGCAGCAGAGTAATAGTAGCTGTATGGCATGCCGTTGTATCATGTAATAGATGGCTATAATGACAAATTCAAAAAAGTTCAAGACAAAAACAACTGGACTTTATTTATGTACTTTCCCTTGTACTTTATTGTTTTTGTCTTGAACTTTTTTGAATTTACCATGTCCTGGATGACCGAGAATCTTCAACAGCTATTAATGACACAATCGGCTTGCCATAGTCAGACACCTTTGTTCTGCTCGCTGCTTGGAGCAAGTCAAACCAGCTGCACCGCCTCGGCGAAATGCAACTAATTTGACCGTTAACGTGCATTTATTAAGTAAAAGTTCAACTGACACACACCTTTGCTATAATTTTGAGCAAACAAATAATTGTTTTAGATGGTTAGCTTGTTAAATTTTGAAGAAACGAGCAGCGTTCCTCCTTATTTTTTTTTTCCTCCCTCTGCGCGCTCCCGGAGCACTGAGGCAGCTAATACAGCTGATTTATTAAGCAAACATTAGACTGAGACACACCTTTACTATAATTTCGAGCAAACAGATAATTGTTTTTAAATGTTGATCTTGTTAAATTCTTGTTAAAGTCCTCCTGTGCACTTCCCTGTGGCTGCCATTTGGCATCCCATCGAGTTTTGGCACAACACCGGCCCACATTTCTGGGTTGTCACCAGTGACGTGTAACAAACGCGACGTCCCAGCGATGACATATAATAGCTGTGACGTATACGGCGAAGCGACACATTTATAGATTTTTCCACTTTTTTAAGACATATTTGGACTGATGCGATGAGTACGGCAGAATATATGGAATATATGGTACTCTGTTAGCCAATATGTTTAAAACTCAGTTCTGCTGTGTCTGTGCAGGCTTGGAGCCAGTTTGCCAGTCAACTTGAGGATTTTGCTCACCCTGAGAAGCTGGAGTCGGCTCTGTCTTGTCTCAACCTGCTGGTCACCGATGCTCTGCACCACGTCCCCGACGTCATCGCCTACCTGTCTCGGCTGCGCAACCAAAGCGTCTTCAATTTTTGTGCCATTCCGCAAGTAATGAGCGTTTCATCAGCTTTGTCAAACAATAATGGCTATTATTCTTTTGTAGTATTTGAGTTTAGCAGCTGAGCCTTCTTTTGCCATTTGTAAAACGAATGAAAGACTTTTGGAAGTATGTTACTTTTGATTTCCTCCACCTGAAATATATCATTCTTCTGCCAACCAGGTGATGGCAATAGCTACACTGTCAAGGTGCTACAACAACCCCATGGTGTTCCAGGGAGTGGTGAAGATCAGAAAGGGACAGGCTGTCACTCTCATGATGGAAGCCACCAATATGATAGCTGTGCAGACCATTATCACCCAGTACAGCCAGGAGGTGAGTGTTGGTCTCCATATGAGCCTTTTTGTCTGCTGCTGTCACGATGCTGCATTTAATGCATCTTTATCTGTCTCTGCAGATTCTACAGAAGGTCTCCCTCACAGATCTGTCGCGGGACAAGACTCTCCACATCCTGGCTGAAATCCAGGAGAAGTCCACCCTTCCGCGGTCCAGCTTCTCCAGGACCCACCACTTGTCTCCGATGTACCTGTCGGCAGCCATGCTGCTGGCCGCTCTCAGCTGGCAGTACCTCAGCACGACTGCAGCTCATTCGCAGGGCACAGGGGACATGCAATGACAGGGAACCCCTCAGCTTTCATCAAACCCACGAACTGAAGAAACCCTGTTTCCTGTCTGACTCATCAAATCAGAGTCTCTTCCCCTGATTTTTGTTCCCTCGTGGCTGTTTCAGTGACACTTTGAACTATGTTTGACAAACGGCTTGTAGCCGCCCGGTCTCAGTATTTTATGTGGCGTGGCTTTAGTCCATCTTGTGTCAAACAGAACAAATGGAACTGTTTTTAGGATTTTGGAGACTGCCTCCGAACGTATTGAAGCTTTTGTTTAATTTTGCCTCAAACTTTAGTTTTGTATTTTTCATGTTGATTCACTGCTGGAAGAAACACTTGAAGTACAACAATGAACAATAGGATTTTTGCACTGCATGTGGACGGCCATCATGTAGACAGATTATTCATTCAGTTTCAAAAGGACAACTTTGCAGAAGATTTTTCAAACGTCAGTCGTTTTATTGATGGAATCAAGACATTTTCAACATTTGTTAGCTAAGTGTCCTTAACACAGCTTTGGTGAGTAGAAAGGGTAACCTTAGGGTAACAGAGTAACCTTGTGCAGAACCAAAGGAGAGCTACAAACATTGCTATGTAATGTGACTTTATGATTTGTACATATTTGAACAAATAAAGGCGTGAAAGAATGTCATCTGTGTCAAACCCGAGCGTGCAGATTATCACAAATCTTGTTTTGTTTCGTTTTAGTTAGAACTTTTAGCATCTAGAAAATTTCTGAAGAAAATTTAAAGGGTTCCAATTTAACAAAACAATGAAAATTTAACAGAAACAAGAAGTATTTTAAAAATTCTTAAATCTTGAACTGCAGAAGACTCTAATGGTCACACATGTTTGAGTTTGTAATATTTAACCGTATTTTCTAATGTACAAATTAAAACGACCATTTTGAAGCGAATGTTTTCGCTGCAGTATAATGGAAGCCTGTTGATGCTTGGGTGTGCACTCCCCTCATTCTGGTAGGATTTAAAAAAACAAGTCCTACAGTAGTGAAGCACACACTTGGTGAACAAAGACCAAATCATACCTGTTGAGGTACAGCTTGTAAATCAAGCTTCAAGGTTCTTTGTCATTTGCATCACGTGGTACATGAGGTGGAACGAAACTGTGTAGTCAAAGTCCCAATTGCATCCAAAAAATAGCAAACGTATAAAGCATTAAAAAAAAAAACGTAGTCCCTCGCTGCTTCGTGGTTCGTTTGTCGCAGATTTGCTCTATCGCAGTTTTTCAAAGTAAGATTGCACGAGCCGCGCGATCGGCATGGAATTTTTATTTTAATTATTTAAAATTATTTAGCACCTGCTGCACATTTGTGCAGAGCAGCAGAAAAAGCTTCCTCCTGCAGCTTTGTGCAGCCCTTACTGCTGCAGGATAAACTTTCTGCTGCAGCTGATCAGCTGTTCTCCGTGCAGAGCGAAGAAGTGGGCGTGGCCAAGAGCGCTTGCAGGTGACAGCTGAAATCGTGACATTGTGCTCTTAGAGCAGAGTTTAGAAACATTGTTTAGAATATTGCAAGAGTGTGGGAAAGGTTTAAAACATCTTAATATACATCTAAATAATAAAATAAACTATTACTTACTACTTGTACTAATATTCCTACTTTGCAGTTTTTCTACTTATCGCAGGGCTTCAGGGTACGGATCCCCCGTGATAAACGAGGGACTACTGTACAAGGGTCTAAAATATACTCTAAACACTAATAATGTAAAATACTACAGTTTATTAAACAGCAACTCGAACATGTACCAAGTTGTGAGGGTAAGAAAAGTACAAAAGGTTGGACATTTTTAGCTGAAAAGTTAATGTTTGACATCAAGCGACTGGTGAAGTCTATGGTAAAATCGTCAAAACTCACAAAACCTAGACTGCGATTATGTAAAGATTATGAAATGTATAAAAATCCCAGCTCGGACACAAAGTCCAACATTCTGGTTTAAACTTTTGAGTTATATTTCTACTGATCTGAGCTATAGAAGTCAAAAGACGGAAGGATTTTTTTAAGTTTCATCAAAAACCTACAGCGCTCCTTTTTTATTAGTTTATTTTTTACAAATGTCTAAATTTTGCAACTTGATGCCAGCAAAAGTTCAATAAGGTTTTGAGCTGAGCTGCCTGTTTTTGATGTATGATTTGTGTGTTTTATTTCAAAGCTGCTCACAGAGGAAAACTGAACAGGATAGTAAAAATGGCACTTCGGTGTTAAAACATTAAACATTACAGTGGTGGTACATTTGAAATCAATTCTTTAAAACAAATAATCACTACTACAGATAAATCAAAGTACAGTAATACAACCTGAGGTGATATTTTCTGTTCTTTTTTGCCAGATCATGTATTTCAGAGAAACACTCAACCTTTGGAGTGTTTCTGGTCATGTGTGATGAGGACATATTTATTACTGAGACGTGTGACTCTTCAACTTGAGCCTGATATAAAGAGCTGCAACAAATTTTGATCAGTCAGGAGAGAAGAAACATCTGCACAGGAACGGTCCAAAAAACAAAACAAACAAAAAAAAACAGGTAAAATTAAAAAGTTCATTTTTTGAAAAAATTGTTTTTTTGATTCTGCTGACCATTTAAGGAGAAAATTTTTTTCAAACTAAGATTACATGAAACAAATTGAAGTGTAATTATTATTTTTCTTGTCACTCGTTATAATGATCTTATTGCAAAAAAAGTAATTTAAACAATTTAGAGCATGGGTAAATACTTTACCTGTAAATATTCAGAATTAAAGTGTTAAAATGATGCAAATGTGTGGATTTATATCATTCATCAGTGCACGGACAGAGTTAAACTTGTTGCTGTAAATGATGCTTCTTTATTTGAACCACGTCGTCTCTGATGCAGGATGCATCCTTTGTTCCTCCTCTGCGTCACGGTGACCGTCTCCGTCTCCTTGGCGCGCCCTCACCTCGATCCTCGCTCGTCGGAAATGGTCGACTTCGTTAACAAAGCCAACACCACCTGGAGGGTGAGCTGCTTCAGTGTTTGGGCAGAAGCTTGTCAAAGCAGCTCCTGCTGTCGCGGCTCAGGTTCAGAATGCTGGAACTGAACTTGTTTTGCTCTGTAGGCCGGCCTCAACTTTCATAATGTTGACCTGAGCTATGTGAAGGGCCTGTGTGGGACCATACTGAATGGACCCAAGCTGCCAGAAGTGTAAGATTTTACAATGCGTGTGTGTGTGCTTCTCACATGTCCAACAGGTGAGGTTTATTATCTGTAGTCACTCATTAACGGCCTCTTTTCAGGGTTCATGATATTGAAGGCATAAAGCTTCCTGACAGCTTTGACCCACGGCAGCAGTGGCCCAACTGTCCCACTCTCCAGCAGGTCAGAGACCAGGGCAACTGTGGATCCTGCTGGGTAAGATGGATACTAAAGTGACAGAAGCATCACTTTCTATGGATATTTGCCTCCAGCAGATGCACTTATCTTGATTTCCCACAGGCCTTTGGGGCAGCTGAAGCCATATCTGACAGGCTGTGTATCCAAAGCGGAGGTAAAGTTTCTCTGGAGATCTCCGCTGAAGATCTGCTCTCCTGTTGTGATGAATGTGGCATGGGGTGAGCATTCAACAGACACTCATTTGATTTCCTCAGTTGAATTTAGTGCAATTTACGTTATAACCAGTTAAGAGTCTTTTATTTCTGGATTAGATCCACATGACAAATACCCCAGTAAAAAGGCTTTCAAATCAAATGGCTCTCTGTTTTTATTCGTGGTGGTTGTAGATGTTATGGGGGGTATCCCTCAGCAGCTTGGGACTTCTGGACAAGCAAAGGACTTGTGACAGGAGGCTTGTACGGCTCCAATATTGGTAATTTCACCCCACTCATCAGTTCAGGCTGTTGTTGAACATCTTCAGATGCTGAGTGTGTGTTTCAGGCTGCAGACCCTACAGCATCCCTCCCTGTGAACATCATGTCAACGGAAGTCGTCCTCCCTGTCAGGGCGAACAGGACACTCCCAAGTGTGTGCAGCAGTGCATTGATGGGTACTCACCATCGTACCCGAAGGACAAAAACCTGGGTACAGCTGTGTTTAAAACAATCAGCTTTCCCATCATATATTATACAGCATTTTACCTGTCACTGAGTTCTCCTGTGTCTCCCTGTTTTCAGGCAAACGCTCGTACAGCGTCCCGTCCCAGCAGGAGCAGATCATGACTGAGCTGTATAAGAACGGCCCTGTGGAAGCGGCTTTTAGCGTCTACGAGGATTTCCTGCAGTATAAGGCTGGTGAGGACTTTACTGATAATGTCTTCATTCATCTCCATAAGTACACATGTTCTATGAGTATTCCCTCCTTTACCAGGTGTGTATCAGCATGTGAAGGGGGACATGCTTGGAGGGCATGCCATTAAGCTCCTGGGCTGGGGGGAAGAAGATGGCACCCCATACTGGCTGGCTGCAAACTCCTGGAACAGTGACTGGGGAGACAAAGGTGGGATGGGATGTTTCTTGTTTGTATTCTGTTGCTCAGAAGACTGTCATATTTGAGTTTACAACAGCTTGTTGTCTTCTTATTACAGGTTTCTTCAAGATCAAACGTGGAAACGATGAATGTGGGATTGAATCCGAGGTGGTCGCAGGAACACCACTGAACTGAACAAGAATGTCCTGGTGGCAGATATTGATTACTGTATTATGATTATTGATGCATGCTCAATAATTCAGGTAGATGAATCTAATACGCTTTAGTCAGGTCCTCTGGACAATTTCTTCTATGTTGAAACGTTTCATCTTTTGGAGAAAAGAACCTGTTCAGAGAACCTGATTTAACTTTAGAATAAATAAATTGTTTCATCCTGGGCTTCTTTGTGAGGGATCAGAATAATGTGAATATGCATGGCTTCATTGTAAATATAGCATGATGGATGATTTATAGAATATTTCCTGATGAACATGAGCCTGAAGTAAATAAAGGCTTAACATCACGTTTCTGTCATTTTATTGTATACAACAAGAAGCTGATAAATGCTTTGGTATTCACAACTTATTAGCGCTTATTTGGAAGCCAGTGAAATAAAATTTAAACCAAACTCAATCAATGTTGGCCACGTTTCTCATTTAGTACTTTTGTACAACGTCAGTGTTAATGTTCATGCACAAGGTCAAGGTTTTCTTTATTCTCATTCGCATTTCATGAGGTGCATGTGGTGGCATCAAATTGTGTACACAGCATCCCAGTTACAGCCAACAAAAATATAAAATGTAAAAGAAAAATAGTAATAAGATCTAAGATCTGAACTAAAAAATATGTGGCTAAACACTTCACGCTAATACACAACTTCACACAGCTGCACGTTTACATTTTAAAGAGCTGAGATTGAAATGCTCACACATAGACTACTTATGTTTTTTTTGAAAACTAAATATGAAAATAATGCTTTTATTTCTTTAAAATAACAAAACAATCAAACAAAAAACAGCTTTGGCGACTGATTAACTTAACTGGCACTGTGCCCCACACTCAGCTCTGCAGATGGGTTTTTGCTAATGTTATTTTACAACAATAATTATAATACAAAAAATACATTTTATATAATTGTTTTTTTCCATGGCTTATTTAGGTTCAAAGATGTAACAGTGAGAGAATGAGACATAAACATTTTGAATTCTGTTACAAGAAATGATAGTCTCATAAGTTCTATAAACATTTCTTACAAGACACTTTTAGCCATGAGATAAAGTAGAAGATATTTCATATACAATGTAAATTTGATTTTTAAAATGTCCTCATCCAAGTGTGCATACTCTTTTCAGGTAATATGATAGTATTTTTTCTAGTTTATTTGTTTAATAATTAAAAAAAATTAATCACACACTCATTTAATGTGAATAACTAAACTGGCAACACACGTTATATTATGTAGTGTCTTAATAAATCTAGTACTTGAATAAACAAAGAATGTTGCAGCCTATGATCCTGCAGTTGCAGTTTGGCGCCACTCAACAGCAGGGGGCAGTAGAACGGACTTAACCGATTGGCTGTCACGGGACAAAAAACACAGAAGAAGAAACGAGCCAATCATGAGCAGGAACAGGAAGCCATAGTTGCCGGTGAAAGTGAAACACCGGTCAGTGAAATCCTTCCTGTGGACTCTATCGCTCTCAGAGTTAATTTAATTTGTTTTTCCTATTTTTTTGGTGTAAATGAAGAGGCTGTGAAGCGCCCTGGTCGTTAGCTGGATGGAATGAAGGCCGGTTGCCGGGTATTACCTTAATAATTTCTGCCTGTCAGTTCTCCTTTCCGTCGTGTCGCCTGCTATCGGAGCTAAACCAGGTTATCAGTTGTGAGCTGGAGGGTAAATAATTATAGATCGATAGGACTTCGTCATGTATTTATCCAATTTGGCGCTGTGGAGAACATACTGGGAGTGTGTTTCCAGGCCGTACACGGTGTTCATCTGCTCCCTGACAGCTGCTTTGTGCTATCTGTGGGGCCGCCATTGTCAGGTCAGTCCAGCCGTCAGAGTTAGCGCCAAAATCAGCTCTATTTGTGTTTATTTATTTACTTTTAAATCCCTAACTTATTGTTATTAACTACTTTTTTAATCCAGATGATATTTGTTGTAAAAACCTGTTCACATGGTACCGCGGTAAAGTTAGTTTTACGTTGGACGTTGGATATTCGAGCTCCGCCACTTCAGCGGGGTGTTGCTCTCGTCAACCGCGGTTACAAAGGTGTGACATTCCCACTAAACATTAGACGTCTAATGGACGTCCATATTACGTCTATATTGGGTCCGTTTGGTCGAAGACCAATTCTGGACGTCCCCCCGACGTGCAAACAAGGTCCACTTTTGTACGTCTAACCATGACCGCATTTGTACGTCAAAATAACGTCAGACTTGGAGGTCATATAGACATCATTTTTTTAACATGCATTTCCTCTATTTTTTTTTTTTTTTTTTTACAAATTTTAGTAGTTACCTTATTATTTATTTGAAGAATATCGTTCTTATTATTGTTATTATTATTCAATTTTATTCCGTGTTGAATTACGGAGGTAACACATTAATTTTCAGTAGGTGGCGGTACTTGTGAAGTTGTTTGCTTTCTTCCATAAAAAACACGAAGAAGAATTGTATTCGCTGGCTTCGGAACCCGAGCGTTATGATTGGATTAGCGGAGTAGCACGTGATCATATTCCAACCAATCAACGCCACTCTTGCTGAACGCGCTTCGTTCATAAACCAACAGTTAATATATTATTTTCATTTCTGTCGGTGCTCAGCTTGTGGTCATTTTTATCGGAGCTCATCTGTGTTCAGTTCATTTGTCACGGAATTCAACTGCCTGCACTAAACTTGCTGCGATCCATTCAGAAGTTGAAGGTAATCGGTTATGTTTTGTCTGTTTTATGTTTTAGCTTTGTTCTCTTACCTGCTGTGGCTTGCTAGATAGTTTAGCTAACGTGAGCTAAAACTTGTGTTTACGTCACTACAGCAGACGATTTAAGGCAAGTAGATCACTACAGTTGTTTTTGTTTTTCTTAGACTGATGAAGCTGGATGAAAGGTAAATGTTTCAGCACAAAAAAAAAAAAAAAACTGTCCAGATGCCCTGAATTCAGACCAAAGCATTTCAATTGAATGATTAAATATGAAAAAAGCATGGTATGTCTCCTTTTAAGATATCTTTAATTATATTTTGACATGGCAAAATACTTATTTGGGATATACTCAACTACATTCTGACTAATATAAATATATCTGTGAACATGTCACTCCAGAGGTTTAGTTGTGTTTATAAACCTTTTTTTTTTCCCCTATGTGGTGTCTTTTGAATCTGGACTTGGAATAAGGAGTTAAACTACCTCAGTAAGGTATGTTTTGTGGCCCCATTCTCCTCCCCTTTGCATTGGATATGTAAAATAAACAAAAACTAGATTAACTAAAAAACTAGTTGCACTCAGAGGGAAGATGCCAAGTGAGTTTTCACGGCAGCCACGGGGCTTGCATGAAATGGATAGGTGGAAAGCCACTGAACTACGGCAGTTTTTGTTGTACACTGGACCTGTGGTTTTAAAACCTGTGTTATCCCCTGTGAGATACAAACATTTCTTGTCCCTGACAGTAGCCATGTCAATAATGCTGGAGTCAGATGAGAGAATTCAAAAGGCCCATCTCCAATATGCTGAAGAACTAATCAAACATTTTGTCATGCTCTGTCCTGACCTGTATGGTAAAACCTTTCCTGTATATCCCATCTCCATAAAGATGTCAGGCACTTCAACTCTTCCCTGAATGATATTTCCTGTTTTCCATTTCAATCCCCGGTTGGACCTGGGGTCTTTCTGTGTGGAGTTTGCATGTTCTTCTGGTGCTTGCGTGGGTTTTCTCCGGGTACTCCGGTTTCCTCCCACAGATCAAAAACATGCATGTTAGGCTGGCTTCAGGCCCAGGCCTCCCTTGAAAATGATCTGCGATCTCGATGACATTTGCCTGGTTAAATAAACGTTAATAAATGATAAATAAATGTGTGTTAGTAAAGCAAGTGGACATTGTACAGAGACAAATGTGAAGTGATTGGCAAAAAAATTCAAAGCCAACTATGAATATTTTCAGGGATGTTTTTTTTTTATTAATCCAGTATTAGGGGAGGCCCCAGCAAGACATTGTGCATTTTCCAGATTGCCTTTGCATATTACTAATTACTCATTTTTTTGTGTTTGTGTTTTTGTCTTTTTTTTTTTTTTTGCCAATGCAAATGCAGATGGAATCACGAATGGGGATGCTGCAGCAACAGAAGGTTTTATAAGGACTCATGCTGCAGAGCATTTTAAAACATGTGCCACAAAGAAGTGGAGGTGGAGGAAGCGGGCTCACACAGAACATTTAAAATGTGCCACAAAGAAGAGAGATGCAAATACAGGTGCCGGTCATAAAATTATATCATGAAAAAGTTGATTTATTTCAGTAATTGCATTCAAAAAGTGAAATTTCTATATTATATTCATTCATTGCACACAGACATATTTCAAACGTTTATTTCTTTTAATCCATCCATCCATCCATTATCTTTACCCGCTTATTCCATTTTGGGTCACGGGGGTCGCCGGTGCCCATGTCCAGCAATCACTGTGTGAGGGGCGGGGTACACCCTGGACGGGTCGCAAGTCCATCACAGGGACACATAGAGACAAACAAGACAAACAACCATTCACTCTCTCACTCACACCTATGGACAATTTAGAGTTACCAATCAACCTAACATGCATGTTTTTGGTCTGTGGGAGGAAACCGGAGCACCCGGAGAAAACCCACGCATGCACGGAGTGAACATGCAAACTCCACCCAGAGGGCCCCTGGACCGGGGTTTGAACCAAGGACCTGTTCGCTGAGAGGCAGCAGCTCTACCAGTTGCGCCACCGTGCTGCCCTGAAATAAATCAACTTTATTCAAAATGTTATGACCAGCACACTTTAAAAAAAATTGCGTACGGTAATTGTGGTGAGGGGAATGTAATTTTATATAGCTTTTATTTCTTGTGTTGCTAGTTCAGCTATCCAAAAATGAAAATGAAGGCATGTTAATTTTTTTATTTTTTATGTTAAGTACAGACCAAAGCTATGTGATCTGTGTATTTTTATAGATTTGTTTGT